CGTTTAAAAGACTTTAATTTCTAATATAGTGTTGGGATTGAGACTGATCATTTTATTTAAAGCAGTTCTACATTTAACACCGCTCATATTATAAATGTATATGCATTTTGGCGTGAAGAGTAATTTAAAAACAGTAATTATTATTTTTAGGTAAACGGTAAATATAAGTATATTATATTGAAAAATGTAGACATGGGTACAGGACAACGTCTGTCGGGTCATCTAGTTTACTAATATAAACTCTTGAATTCAATAAAAGCTAGTTGAAAATGGCATTTAGCCTTAAAGCTATTTGCATGTGTAATTCAACTGTTAATTTTAAGACAAAATTAATCTATGTCTGTCATGCAGTAATTTCCACGGAAAGCGTTTTTCACCTTATTATATTTGAGATGTCGACAGAAGATATTAATATTTTTATCAAAAATAAGATCTGCATTTGGCTAAAATCTATCAAAAATCCTTAATCTCAACAAAGGATACTTTGTCTAAATCCATTCCCTGTGGATAGTTGATCTGGTCTGTTGCATAGTCGGATGACGTCAAGAAAGTTCCATTGACCCAATGCATAGATAACTCTGACGTCAGAACGCATGCAGATATCCGGTTCGGTTGCACTCCTGCACGGCGCATTTCTGTCTGCGGGGACACAATCATGAAGGTATGCAATTGAGGAGGTCGATAGTAATTGATGGAATTGATAACCGAAGACTATTCGAAATTCGTACAAAAATTGGATTGGATTTTTAACTACCCGAAGAAGAAGTTTATGTTTTCATCAAAAAATCCGATTCGCTAATTTTATGTTTTCTCGACGTTTCAAGCCATTCTGAATCGAATGAGACCAAATTTGGAAAATGGGTGTGTTAGTATTTTAACAGATTTTCAATTTAAAAGTCATTCGATGGATCTCGATGAGGACTATTGTTTGCACGACGATCGGCCAAGCAGTTTCTTTATAAATAGCAGAAAAATGACAAATTTTTCGTCCATGTTTTAGTCCGCAATTCTGAATCAATTTTGGAAATTCAAAAATCGTTCGAAAGATATTGGTTGGGAATCGTGCTGATTAGTTTTTGGTGGAGATCGGCTGGGCCGTTTTAGCATTTTTCAAAATTAGACCTTTCATCGACGTTTGCTCAAAAACGCCTAAACCGATTTCAGAAATTTAAAAGCCATTTATGTATCTCAATGAGGACAATCGCTAAGCCGTTTCTTTGTAATTTTAAAAAAAGTGTTATACTTTTCGTCCTCATTTAAGCTCATACTACTGAATCGATTTTAAAAAATCAAAAACTGTTCGAAAGATATTAGTTGAGAATGATACTGATTAATTTAAGTGAAAATCTACCGAGCCGTTTTCTTGTAATTATCTGTTGGAAAAGAAATTTAAGCCGATTTTTAGGGAACTTTTTTTAGCGATATATATCATGGTCTTATAGAACTTACTAAAGTATTACGGCTTTACAACAAGTAGTTTAATTTTGAAAATTTATCAAAGTTTGAGAAAATGAGCAGTTTTTTTGACGTTTGTTAAAATTAAAATCAGACGATTTACTTGGTATAAAGAAACGATAGAGTACTTGGTCTCGATGAACATACTAAACCAATAAAGTCCTACGGAAACTGGTTCAATTATAAAAATTGTTGATTTGTGAAAATTTGCTTTTAGAAAATACTCCGAGTTAACGTGTTCGTTCGTTTTCAATTATTTGTAATAAATCCACTCGGAATACTGTTAATCCCTCCTAAATTAACATATCGGGAACTTGAGGCAAGTTACATGAACTTCCCGAATATACCAAAATACCAATACCAACTAATTATTATTTTTTGTTTATTTCAACATTGGAACCGTAACCGTTACCGTAAATAACATTTCTAGAACCACAGTAAAAAATAATGACACAATTGCTTCAAGTTTTTAAGAAATAAAAATTTTTGTTAAACTATAAATTTAAATTTTTAAAATTGCTTTACTTTGGGAGGCACTCCTTTGAAAAAATGTACTAAAGTGTGTTAGCAAGTTCCATCAGATATTGACAAATCAGGATTGTAAAATGAAATCAGGACTTGATAGTAATTCATAATTATTGAAAAATCAAAATTAAAAATAATATAATTGTAATATCTTTCTAGTGCATTTTATTCATAACTTGTTCTGTTATCCATACAGGGCCATAATCCAAAAAAATATTTTACCATTTTACCTTTTTCATAAAGCATTCTAAGTATTTGAACAGATTCACATCTTTCTTCTTCTAATTTCCGGCCAATATTTTGGGAAACTCATTTTCTTTCGAAATTTTCATGACCTTCATGACCTATAGTGTCCATATCCTAGCATATCCTTTACGATTATGTATACATTATTGTTTTATGTCATTTCAATTCTCCTCTTGTTTTATCTCAGCGAAATAGAATTGTATATTCCCGCTCCTGACTCAATTTGCATACGATGCATAGTTTTATAATTAACCAGGTATCTGCACCTGTTCACCGATAAGTATTTCCAGTATTTATCATATATTGGTAATTGTAAATGAAGGTGTGGTATTGTTTCTCGTAAAAGTCACTCTCAAGTTAATTGTTAGAAATTAGGAACATTTTAAAGTATTGGTGCACCGAGCTTTTTTTTATTAAAATGCAACTCAATGGTTATTCTTTCTCTTTGAGCTGACTTTCTGATATACTTCGGTTATATTCATTGTACCGATGGCTTGTAAAATAAATAATATATGTATATTTTATAAAAATAGCCTGAAAATTAATTTGTACTAATTATAAGGTGATACTATTACTCCTGCTGACAAGAATCTCTAATTCTAATAATTAAAAGTAAATTTATTCCTCGATTATTTCTCGTCAGGTCGAAGCAAAATTAGATCATCACATTGACAATGACATAATTTCTGATCGGATAGAAATAACGAAAATGTTTCACAATTAAATTCAAAAATGTTCTTATGACATAAGATGTCGAACTTAAATATTCATTCGACGGTTAGGACATTCGACAGAGTACAAAATCGTTTGCAGAATGTAAAATTTTCCATTAAATATGTAAAGCAGATAATAGTAATTTGCCTTATAAAATTTACTATATTTATCTATTTATTTAATTTTACAAAAAAAAATTAAATTTTTGAAGAAAATGTTAAAATACATGTAAAAAAATTAACCGAATATATATAAATATATGATAGAGTTGTTTTTGGGCATCCAATGATAAAACAATTTTTGTGAAGAAAAATGTCTTTATTGTACAACGTTTCTGGTCCTGATTTGATCCATCTTCAGTGCTACATTGAAAGATTTCAGGGTTACAAGTTAGAAGTAGATATAAAAAAATTACAAATGTATAAAATTATATTTATAAACATGTGAAATAGCAAAAATCTAAACACTTTGGTAATAAATTTATTATATAACCAAAATATATATTACATTATATATATTAAACTATACGGCTTATCTTCATTTTAATTAGCTTTCTTCAAATTACTATAGCTCATATTTATTTTAGTTATAGATAATTGTTACAGAAATTAATATAGAAACAGAATACATAAAAAATTATCATTTTTAAATAATATGTGAATGAAAATAACCAAAACTGCAATTACAATTTAAATTACAGATATGTTTTGATTTATATACTTATTATTTTAATCAAAAACATACTAAATATTTAGTTGGTTCCTAAACATACAGTTTTAAGTTTATCTTAATATTATATTAATTATATAATAATTTTCAAATTTAGATACTTATGCAAATAGATTATCTCAAATATTTTAGCCATGTGAAATGTCTGAAAAAAAAATCATACTCTAACTTTTAGTTTTATATGCTTTATTTCATAATTAATTAAAGCAATTTTGTATGTACTACGTTATTAATAAAATTCGAATTCAAAATTTATAATATTGAAACAGTTATATTAGGAGTTTTAAAAATCTATAAGAAATTAAAATTTTGCCTGAATTTTAGATTATAAATGGTTTTGAATTTAATGATAGTGTCTTCTTTACCAGGCGAATTTTAAGAATTTGATTTGATGTCAGGAATTTGTAACTTAAATATGAAAAAGTCTCAATAAAATATAAATATTAGTCTTACAAAAAACATTCCATTTATATATTTTATTTCAATATTATACAGAGGAGTGGGCTCAATAAATTATAATTTGAAAGTAGAAGACATTATGTATAAATACAAAGAAGTACATGCAATTTTGGTCTTATTGCGTTATTTATTAAACTGAATTATATAATTTCATCTGCCAAACATATACTGTTGACTGTATATTATATTATTTTACTGGCACATCTCAGATGCTTTTCGCCAATAATAATGTAGACATTACTTTCATTACATTACATAAATTTCAGCTAAATTCAAATTTCAAGTGAATTGATATTTCTAGCAGAAGACAGTTCAAATGTTTTCAATGTCAAACAATGATAAGTAGTTTTTTGTCATTTATTTCTACAATATTACTATAGTTTTATATACTTTCTTTGACAAACTCTAAAAAGAATTATCAAAATCCGAATAACCGTTTAAGAGAAGTATCAAATACAGAAATGAGAATACAGTACCGTACGAAAGTATTTTATATATAAGATATATATATATATATATATATATATTTATGAATATAATTATAAATCATATGAATATATTATATTCTAATATTATCTACAATTATAAATGCTCACATGTTCGTTAGCTTTTTTCAAATAAAAGGTTGGGCAGCCATGTGGACTTGACAGCTGTCATTTGGTTTGCATCTTTAATTTTATTTTGTATAACCTTACTTGTTTTAAATTAAACCGAATACATGTAATAACATATATTAACTTTATTTTTTAAAACAAAAAAGAGTTATCAAATGAAGAATTAATATTATAACAAGTTAGTATTTATCTTACATAAATCTATTTCTAGGTGCTTCTAGAAAAACACGTGTTAACCCCAAACAATTTTTTTTTTAGAAGTTTTATTAAATCAACAAAAACAATGACTACCGAAATTAAAAAGAATATGACCGATGATGAACGTTTAGCTTTAGCTGCAAAATTAGATAGAGAATTAGAGGAATTTATTGATGGTCTCGAGAAGAAACGATATTCAGAAGGATGGCCTGAAGACCGATGGGAAGAAGAAATGGATAAACATCCTTTCTTCATGAAAAAAGCACCAACTCCAGGTAATAAAAGTCTTAATTGTTTTGACAAACTATAAATTGACTCGCTGCCTTTGTGCAAGATTTAAGTTCTTTTACCCTTAGGCGAAGAATTGTCTCCTCTCATGGCCGGTTTGCAAGAACTAAAGTTTGATCCAGAGAATAACACTCCTGAAGAGTTAGCACAAAAGTATAAAGATGATGGAAACTTTGAATTCAAACATAAAAATTATAGATTAGCAATCATCAATTACACCGAAGGCATCAAAGCTAAATGTGATAACTCTGAATTAAATGCAACATTGTACAACAATAGATCAGCTTCACATTTTTATCTAAAAAACTACAGATCTGCATTAAATGATTGTATTTCTGCTTTGATAATAAAACCGGATTATTTAAAAGCAAAAAAACGTGCCATCGAGTGTGCATTCTGCTTAAAAGATTATGAGCAGTGTATAAAATTTTGTGACGATTATTTAGTTGGTGATAACGATCATGATATTTTGAAAATGAGGATTAAAGCTGTTGAACATAAAACAAAAGCGGAAAGAGATAAAAGAAAGCAGGCCATGCAAGAAATTAAGGAAAAACTTGCATTGAAGACTACGGTAGAAATTTTAAATGAACGTAAAATTAAATTTTTTGATAAGAAATTGCTTTGCGGTGATTTAAAATATGTTCCACAACCTAATTATGAACCTATACTAAAAAATCCTATAAATGTTAAAAATAATATATTACACTGGCCAATATTATTTCTTTATCCGGAATATCTAACAATAGATTGCTTGCAAAGCGTTCCAGAAGCAACTACCATTAATGATAATCTTCAAGAAATCTTTGGAGAGAAACCAGATTGGGATGTTAAAAACGAATACAAACCTGAAAATTTAAATGCTTATTTTGAAAATAGATATCTCGGACAAGTTTTTCTACTAAGCAAGACTTTAACTCTTGAACAAATTACTACTCAAAAGAATTTTATTGTGTATGATGGCGCTTTAAGCTTTTATATTGTGCCCAAAGATTCACAAGCAGAAAAAGACTTTGTTAATCAGACACGTGTGAAAATGACTTAAATATAACTTAGATAATTTTTTTATATGTGAGAAAGTTTTAAATAAATGAAATAATAAATATTTATGGTTATTATCATTATGACTATCAGGAGGAAATTACCTGACTTAATAGTTTTCATATGTTACAAAATAATCAATAATAGATATCATCTGCAATTAGCAGATAAAATCTGAAGGTAATGTATACTTGTAATATGTAAATCAATAAATATAGTATTGCACACAAAATGTGCAACAATTCAGTAACTTTTTCTATAAATTCTATAGCTTTTTATTAAATAAATAAGCTATAATGGTGTGTATGTATATGTTTTGTTCTTGGTTCACAGTACGTTTAGGGTGTCTTATAACAGCACTTTCAGCAATCGTAAGTTCTTAGAAAAGTCTGTAAAAACTAAGTGTATTAGGTGGATTTTCAATTTAAATTATATATATTCCAAACTCTCAAAAAGTTATGTTATGAATTGTATATTATATATTTCAGTCTTTTAGCGAGTAGTTTGATTTGATTATTTTTTTATTTTTCAGATTCAAAATGTCATTGCTATAATTTTATTTGCCACAATGGTACCTGTGTATAAAGAAAGTCTTTTGGACTACGATTTTTTGATTTTGCGCTCATTTATAATTTTCTTAAATGATGGTGAGTTTAGAAGAAATATATATACATATTATTTAATTATAATAGTTAAAATTATTTAATTAAAGATGAAGAATCTGGATTATCAATACTGTATAGTGTTGCAAGTTTTAGTCTTGCTTCTTGTGCAGTTCTCATTTTTGGAACTGTGTATGTAAGTTGATTAAAATATTACATAATTGAACAATTTATATCAAATTTACATACATAAAATGAATAATATGTATCATTTCAATATTTTTAGCTCTCAATGATATGCTTGATGATATTCATTGTAATAGAATTTATAAGATTATCATGTTTATTAATTATATTTGTAATTATTATGAAAATTATCAAAAATTTTGTGGGACTTGATGTACTATTTATGTCAAGCATTACGGGAGGATTTGTCTTTTGTAAGTTCATATATTGTTCATAGTACATTTCATTGAGTGTGTATATATTTATTATATATTTTATATTATTTTCAGTGTTTCTTTACTACCAATGGGCATGTGTGGTTAGCTTGTTCCAAATGTTAAGAAATATCAAAAATAAAAAAGGGTTTGCTAATTCAGATCAACCGCATGAGACAAAAGCTTTCATCAACAAAAATACTCAACATGCTGATCATATATCTTCATTGAGTAAAAATATTATTGAGTACTCTATTTATAACGATTACTTAAAAGATTTTTCATACTATAAGGAGAAGCCAATGAAAAGTGAAATTATTTTGAGGGAACCGGATACAAAAATCAGACGAAAACGATATGAAATTGTACCTTTTTCTGTGTATAAGCAGAATAATATTTACAACAGCAATATGTATTATTAACACAAGTTGCAATACATCGAAAATTATATTAATGTCTAAATATAAAGTCAAGTTTCTGGACGATGTATAATATAAGATAGAAATTATTATTAATTGTATTTAAACCGGATGTGCTGTTTGTTATCTTTTGCTTTGTTATCTTGATCCGATTATATTCTTGGTATCATTGTATTACTACAAAATAAAATAATATTTCAATGCAAGATTTAAATTCAAATAAACTATTAATAAAATTTAAATTGCGCAATGTTGCCATCATAGATAAAGAAGAGAGTGGTTGCCATAGCAACAAGAGGCTAGGGAAAGTTACGTCCACAAATCATTAGCGCAAAATTTGAATTTAAATAATCGTTTATTTCAATTTAAAATCACATTAAAAGGGTTATACATTTTGTAATAATACTAATGACAAAAAATACTAAATAATATATTTTAATAGATGTAAAGCACACATTTTCTACTATTAAAATTTGTATTCTATTTTAAGTTATTACTAAGAAGTTCATGTTGATTTTCTATTTCCATTTAAATGAAGCTTAATTGCAATAATTTTAATGCACTTGTGTTTGTATGGACAATAATATAATATATTATTTATTATATTATTATGAATATACAATCATAATATATTTACATTTAAAAAAAAAAACGTTTTTATTAACCACATACTACATAACCTTTAAATAATTATGAATGAGCAAATGTCAACAGAAAATATGCACAACAGCAATACAAACATTTCAATTAACTATTATTTTATACGATGTTTTTATAATTTACATGGTAAAATTAAACAATAAATGTTCGAAAATGTTGTAATACATTTTTTACGTGTCTCCGCATAATATCGTTAAAAATCATGTACATTTAGAATATATTGCAATTTTATATACAGTAAAATAAATAAAATTAAAAACAATTATATATAGTATGAAATGGAACAGTTTGAAATTGTATGTCTAGTCGGTGAAGGCTCTTTTGGAAGAGTATATAAAGCTAATAATAAATCTAGTGGGGAAACTGTTGCTCTGAAAATTATTCGAAAGGTTGGTAAATCATCTAAACAAATACAGTTTAAATATACTTTACGATATAAACTTCAGAAATGATTCTAAACTTCTCAATCTCATTTATTTCAGCATGGTCGATCAGCTAAAGAGCTTGTGAATTTCCATAGAGAATGCGAAATACAGCAGCACTTGAATCATCCCAATATAATTCGAATGCTAGATTCTTTTGATACTCCATCTCAAATGGTGGTCGTTACTGAATTTGCTCATAAGGATTTACATACTATATTGGCAAAAGATGGGAGCTTAGGGGAAGAAAAATCTCGTGTGCTGACATGGGATTTGGTATCTGCACTATACTATTTACATTCGCATAGAATATTGCACAGGTAAAATGAAAGTTAAATCTTAATTCAAGCACTTAGTATTTAGTAGTTGATATATATTTTTTAGAGATTTGAAGCCACAAAATATCTTGCAAGACGTGGATGGAAAATTTAAGTTATGTGACTTTGGTCTTGCTCGCACCATGACTACTGGTACTCATGTTCTGACATCTATCAAAGGGACTCCGTTATATATGGCACCTGAGTTAATGTCTGAACAGCCATATGATCATCAGGTAAGAAAACAATATCAAAGTTATCCTTGTTGATCATTGATGTAAACTAGCTGTAAGTGGAATTCTGTCTTAAGGCAATTAAGGCATCGTGCCTTAAGACAAATTGCTGGAACTTTCCGCACCAAAAATTATTATTTTTTTAAAAACAATTAACATTTTTGAAAAAATTTTACTTCGAAAAAATTAGATTTTTGAGAAACTATAAATTTGACAAAAAATTACTTTTAAAAAAAATTTTTTTTTTTTGAAAACAAATTTTTTTTGAAAAGAAAAATGTTTTCTACATTTTGACATATTTTGGAAATTCTGAAGGTTTATTTAAAACAACCGTACTGCTTTCACTGCATAAAGACGAAATATCAAAGCGCGTAAGCGCCGCATCGACGTCTAACGCGTAAACATTGGTACGGAACCCATGGGAATGTAAACAAAATTTATACTTATTGTTAAAATCTCTATAAAATATCTGATAATTTGATGTGCATATGTCTAATGATCATTTTTGACCGCCAAATGGCTCATTTTTTTACTTTTTCCTCCATATCTCCAAAGTCGTTGGACCTGCCTTTCCAAAATTTTGAACAGTTCTTCATTTAGTCAATACAAATAAAATGTTTTTTGAATTATTCAAATCGGACGCTCCGTTCTCTTAAAAACTGAGTTACCGTTTTCGGCACTTTTTGCCCCGTTACTTCGGAACGGCTAGACCTACCTTTGCCAAAAACTAATCAGCACGTCTCCTTATCAATACGAATCGAATGTTTTCTGAATTATTCAAATCGCTTCATCCGTGTTCCCGAAATCGTCGACGAAAATTTGTATCCGCACATACATACACACACACATACAGACACACACACATACACACACACACATACATCCATTTTTTCTAAGGTATGAAACGTAAAGATATATAAAAATTTTCATTTTCGATTTTTTTGCGATTACTATAACTTGACCTACGGGAAGTAAAGTTAATAAATTAAATATTTCAGGCAGATTTATGGTCTTTAGGTTGCATAATATATGAAACTTTAGTTGGAGAGCCTCCGTTTTCTACAACATCAATATTACATTTAATTCAGTTAATTAAACATGAACGCGTCAGATGGCCAAGTTTTATATCACAGGAATGCATCTCGTTTCTACAGGTAAATTTATGTAGTATTACAGTTATATTAGTTAATAATTAATATCTAAATAATTTTCTTTTAGGGCCTGCTGCAAAAGAATCCTTTGGATAGATTATCTTGGCAGAATATATTAATTCATGAATTTGTGCAAGGGCATATAATAATTTTAGATGAAACATCTGTATCACCATTCACACATCCATTAACAAAATCCCAAGCAGAAGCTAAAGAATTGCAACATATGAAAGCTATAGAAAATAAGTACGTAAAAATAATAATAAAATCTACAAACAATATTATAGATTATAAATGTACAAACAATTTATACCTATTTCAGATCTTGTGCAATACCAGTTCAAGAATATAATGAGACCAAAGTTGTAACTGAAGACAAATGCAATGATACACCAACGGTTTTAGAAAATGAAACAACATGTAGCTCTGATAGTGTTAAAAATGCATTTGATGAGCTTAGCTTGCGAGATACTTTAAAGACTGATTTAGGTAGATTAATAAAATATATTAAATATATTATCAATTCATTTGTTATTCTGAGTTAAATAGAATATAAAAATCTATAGTTTTACCATGGTGTATCAATATTATATTGTAATGCTGTTAATTTTCTTTTTAAGGTAATACAGATGTCGAAGGAAATATAAGTGAATTTGAAACAGATCTTGAACTACGCAAACCTGTAAGAATGGTTCAGAATCTTCCTCAGCCAATACAAGCTCATTATGAATCCAAATTGAAATCAAATAATTTAGTTATAAATAACATGAATAGCAACATAGAAGAACTAAACAATATATTGAAAGTTCAAACAAATAACACTTTATCATTAACTAAAACTAATATACCGAAATACTCACATAGTAATATAGATATTGCGAAAATCACCAGACAATCCGATAATAAAACAAAAAAAAGTTTCTTAGAAAAGCGAAAGCTTAGTCAAAATTTAGATAATTTTTCATTAAAGCTTGGACACACAGAATCAGTTAACAAAGATACCAAAACGTTAAGCAAATCAATAAACAGTTGTAATTTGGTCAAAACTGAAGAAGCAAAAAACATTTCAACTACGAACAGTGCAAATAAAAGTAGAACGTCTGAAAAATCTACTGGCGCTAAAAGTAAAATTAGAAAGGATTCTAAGAATATTAATATTGAAAATAAACCAAAAACCATGAGCAACACTGGTCAAGATGAGAAGGAAGATTCTAATCAAGGTACATGTGAGGAGGAAGCTAAGTCTCAAATAGATTTAAGTAACGAACCATTAGATAGTAGCGGCTTAGGAATTGATCAGCCTATTGAAAACGAAGAGTGGCTTGCATTTATTCATAAAACTATGAGAGAAGTATTAGATGGTGATTTAGATTCACTAAAACAACAAAATTTGGTGAGTATTTTTCATGAATTCAATAATATTCATATTTTCTTCAAAATCTATGCCAAACATATGTATATTTTTAGAACACGTAATATTTTTATCCGTCATATTCAGTTAATAACATCGTTAAAAAAAGATTAGAGTTTTTACATAACAATTTAAACAGTTCTTCATACCCTAACAATTCTTGTTCAAAATCAAATTATTCCTCTTTAGATAAATATGAAGATGTTATTTGTTTACCTTTCTTAAGCAATTTTTCTTATTCTTTAAAAAAAGTAATTTGCCGCCTAAGATTTTCTTTTAGTTTTCATTTTCAACAACACGTGCAGTTGCCTTTTTTATGCTCTTAAGTCAAAAACTCCCACTGATAGGGTTACTAATTCGGTTTATTGGTTGGACTGTAATGATTGCAATATTGGAAAAATTCCCAATATATACCCAAGAGGGTTTGCCAACATATATATAATTCTAGAAACCCAAATCAATACAAAACTATGTTATCAGAACATATGATTAACTTGAACTATACTTTCAACATGTCAAATCTTACCATCCTATATATTGAAAAGAATTGTGACCTTAGGAAGATAGTTAAGTCGTTACTTATATCTCTTAATATTAGGTTGTCAAATATCTCCCTTCCGCCTTTTTGTATTATAAACCAATAGCAAAAAAGCGGAAGGGAGATATTTGACAACCTAATATTTCTTGTGCCAACAAACGGAATTCCTCTACAGTTACAAAGTCATTATAAATTTCATGAAAAGTAATTCTATATAGTATTAGAATCTTTTGTTCGTTATATCCCTTCTCTGTTTCTCATTCCTCATTTGTTTCTTACACCCCGCGTCAACTCACTCCACCACACGTGCTGCGTAACCTTGATCAGTTTTCATAATGCACTGCGATTGAATACATACAATATTGGAGGGCAATATGTGCTCCTTTAATTTCTCTTTTATTAATTATTATTAGTTATGATATTCTTCTGCATAAGTTTAGTGTTTAATAAATTTTATATATTTTTTTTGTGTTTTTCCTGGTTTGGTATATATATATATATATATATATATATATATATATATATAATTGTGTTAAATCTGGTGTTTTTTCAGCTCAGTATTATTATATCACCTCTAAGACATAATTGTGTAAGCAGTGAAGTAGCAAAAAGTGTAGCGCAATTATTAGCAATTCCATTAGTTGTTTCTAGAAATACTGGTGATATCGAACCAGTACTGAAAGTAAGTTATACACATTCTTGTTGTGTATTATTTTTACGGTTTATTTATTTATAATATTCTTTCACTTATTACAGGTTTATTATGATGTTAAACTTGTTGCAAACTTAGTTTATGCTTCGGTGCTTATATGCAAACGGAAGGAAACTTTAAAGTAAGTTAATAGCAATTAATAATCTATTCTACATAAATTTGAAACTATATATAATTTAATTAGCCTCATCCACTATTTTTATTAATTATTGTTGTTTTGTCAATTAGATTTATTTACCATATTTTTTAATTGCAGGCGAGACCAGTTCACTGATTCTGATCTTTTAGCTTTTGAGAATATGTATTTATTAGTATGTCATCTTTTACATTCAGCCGAACAATTTGCTTCACAGTTTTGTGATGCTGTAGTTGTTTTATCGGCTAAAAATCTTATACAGGAACTAATGATACCTGGTAATATGATAAAAATGATAATTAAATTTTTGTTGCATATATATGAATATATATTTTTACTTATAGATGCAAAAGGTGTAAAACTTGCAAGTGATATCATTGCAATTTTGTGCAGTGTGATGTGTTGTCTTCCAGAAAATGCTCAACTAATTGAAGATATTGTTTTAGACAATGGACTGGCGAGAATTATGGAATTATTATTGTATCAAGATAATTTATTAAGGTATCATAACTTATATAATTTAATTTATTTTAATTATTTGGAGTAAAAAAAAATATATTGGAGATTTTATTATTGCTACTGTTAGGAAAGTAGAAAATGTGTAAATACATATGAAGTTTATTTATTAATTGTAATTTCTAATAATAATGTGTTCAATATTTGATATAATTTCACCTGAATTGTTTCTATTTAAGACTGAGAACTTGTAATCTAGTTCGTTTACTAGGACGCTTCAGCTGTTCTACTTTGCAGAATTACTGGTGTGCTGAAATAAGAAATAAGTTAGAAGATCTTCTTGAAGAAGATGATGTAGACTTATCAATGGTACTTAAATTTTTTGCTTTCTCAATATAAAAAAGCTTAGTATGCAAAAGATACTTTATCAAGTATGTACACATTGTTTTTACAAATGCCCTTTAGTCATTTTCTATGCTTTTTCTAAATAACATTTAAGTACAATAACAGAAAGAACTATTATTGATCGGACCATGTAATTCGTTTTCTGAATCCCAAAAATAAAATTAGTTTGTTCTTCATATTCCATTTGAATAATCTAATAATCTATTTACAGACTGCAGAGGAAACAATTGCCGAACTCAAGTCACTACCATTTTATCAAAAATAACTTCATGACAGAGAGTGTAAATATTTAAAGACTAATTTTATTTTAGTTGTATTTTCAAGTCAAGTATTTTTATAAATGATCTTCATAGGTTCTTATATGAACTGTTGAAAATGCTTACAACAGAAATTTTTATACAACTTTAATACCATATAAGTGCATTATTGAGATTCAACTTTTAATTGATAGTATTTAAATTAATATGATAATGTCGTTATTAATAATATAATAAGGGTGCTAATAAGTTCTGGCAATTAGAATTGTACATACAATTCTAATTGCCAGTACAATACTAAAATTTTTGATATAATTAAAAAATCAAATGTGCCATATAATATTATGTATAAATTTTTACTCATTTTTGTTAGATACTCACTGTAATAAGTTTATTTTATTAAGAAATATTTCTATTGAGGTAATGAAATATGTTATAAAATAACTAATTTTGTTAAGTGAATATTTGTAAAATGCAATATATAATATAATATGTATTTAATACATATCTTAAATTTGCACAGTTTGTGGCAACTAAAATATGCTTTATAAGGCTAGTGGTTGTAATACTATGGAAAGGTATTCCTTCATGGACTATTCGCGTTTTTTTAAAAACAAATTTTACTGAGTTTTAAAATATCAACCTAAAAATTACCATTGAATCAAATCTTTGATTATTATTAAGTAAAATCTTCATAGATTTTTTTTAAGAACTGTTTGAAACTGTTTAATACAATACAAGTGCATTATTAACTTCTCGAAGAAGTTTGTTTTCATAAAAAAATCCGATTCGCTATTTATAATTATAATTTTATATTTTCTCAACGTTTCAACCCATTCTGAATCGAATGAGACCAAATTTGGAAAAGTATGTGTGTGTGTCTGTGTTGACGTTTTCTCAAAAACGGCTGGACAGATTTCAAAAATTAAAAGCCATTTGATGTATCTCGATGAGAACTTGCGTTTGTTGGGTTAGCGCGACGATCGGCCAAGCCGTTTTTTTGTAAATAGCAGAAAATTGAAAAATGTTCGTCTAAATTGTTTGAAAAATATTGGTTGGTAATCGACCTGATTAGTTTTTGATAAAAATTCGCTAGCACAATTTCTTGTAATTAACTGTTGAATTTTTTTTTCGACGGTTTTTATAATTTTAATAGTTGAATTGACCCCGCGCGGGTCAATCGATATCATCTTCAAACAATATTCTGTTTCTGATTTCCCGTGGATTTTAAACTTATGACAAAAGTGAAATTTTGCGCAAAACTTCGATTCTTATCAGAATTGGAAATATGTCTCAAGTAGTCTCAAGTAGTGCTCATATTTATCATTCGTCATCGATTGCGTATAAATTGGGATGGATCAAGGTGCAGGGTCATTTCTTAGCAATAAACGCGATGAAGACGTTCATTGTTTTACTGGCAACCATCTGCTTTGTCTCAGGTAAAAATATAAAAATATATGTTTCTAGTTTCTAGATAATTGACAAATGATGGTATTTTTTAGCCAATCCGGCTGGAAGGATCGTTGGAGGCGAGAACGCTGATGATGCCTCTGCTCCTTATCAGGTTTCACTACAATTTAAAAACTTCCACTTTTGTGGAGGTTCTATTTTGAACAAATACTGGATCATTACAGCTGCACATTGCATGGGGTAAATATGAATTAAAGAAATATTCAAAAATTTACAATTAACACAAATATCTTATATTTCTATTCTAGGAGACGTTTTGAGGTAGTAGTCGGTATTAACAGATTAGACCAGGAAGGCTATAGATACCAAGTAGCCGAAATAGTCACATTGCCATTCGATTCCGAAACAAATAATTATGATTTGGCACTTGTAAAAGTTAAGAAGCCAATTAAGTTCAACTACAGGGTACAACCAATTCCTTTGGGCGAAGAATATGTCGAAGGAGGTGAAGAAGCTCGTCTTACAGGATGGGGCAGATTAGGAGCTGATGACCCTGCACCAAACGAATTGCAGGTAATAAAAATAGTAATACAAATATAAATGCAATACAAATATTTTTTTTCTTATTATTTGTTTGTTGCAGGAATTGAACACTTTTACCATCAGTCATAAAATTTGCAAGAAAGCTCACCAGCATGTGGTTTACCCAAGTCAGATATGTGCATTTGTAGAAAAAGGAAAAGGAGCTTGCATGGTAAGTGATAAATAAACTGAAAACTGATTTTTTAAGGTTTGTTATAAATTATCACATGCTATGATAAATTATGTGAGAAATATCATGGTAAAGGTAAGACATCATTCTTGGAAACGCATTTTGAAGTAAATGTAGTAAAACAACTTTTGTATATAGAAAAAAATGATACGGTTGAAAAATTATAAAATGCTACGATAATTATATCAAAAATATCATGGTAAGATATCATTCTTGGAAACTCATCTACTAACTAAGTAAATATAGTATAACTTTGGTAAATGAAAAAAAAATGATACGATTGTAATATAAGTTTTGCGATATATGTATGGCTGATGTTATGAAAATCTACTTATAACAAGAACATTAATATTATGGGACTGTTTCTATAATTTCAAAATCAAGAACAAACTGGTGGTGCACGACAAAGGTAAATTGCTGGAACTTCCCGTACCGAAAATTAAGATTTTTAAAAAACCTTCTAAGATTTGGTGAAAACTTTAAAAAGAAAATGCGATTTTTGAGAATTCTGAAATTTTTCAAAAAATTGACTTTCCTGAAAAATTAGTTTTTTAAATTAAACATCCATTTTTTTCTAAAATATGCCAAAACTTTCACAAACTTCAGAAACGTAAAGATATGCAAAAATTTTCATTTTCGATTTTTTTGCGATTACTTACCGCGCCGAAAATTAAAATTTTTAAAAATTCTTGAAAATCTGCAAAAAACTGAGATTTTTGAGAATTTCGAAATTTTTAGGAAAAAAGGCTTTTGAAATTTTTTTTGTTTCGATTTTTTTTTATACTTTAAATTTTTTTGAAAATTTTGAACATCCATTTTTTCTAAGGTATACCAAAATTTTCAGAAACCTCTGAAACGTAAAGATATGCAAAAATGTTCATTTTCGTTTTTTTGCGATTACTATAACTTACCCTACGGGAAGTTAATTATCATATAGAGGCAATAAGGATTGTTCATATCATACCTGAGCATTACCAAGTTTTTCCAGTCATTTTTACCAGTGATAAATGAGTGACCTAAAAATTTAAAAAGAATTATACTCTATTCGATTGATATAACCACGAAGAAACCTAATATTACCAGGGTGACTCCGGTGGTCCATTGGTCGTAAATGGAGAACTTCACGGGGTTGTTTCTGGGGAATCCCCTGCGCCCTTGGAAAACCTGACGTCTTCACCAGAGTCTCACACTATGCCGAATGGATCAAGAGAAGATCGCCGATGATGAATGACAAAATTGTTGCTAATTTATATTTGAAATAAATTATTGAAAGAAATAATTCTGTGTTATTTATTTTCCACACACACCATCTATAGATATATAATATATTCAAATTCAATAAGTCAAATTTTTATTCCAGTCACAAATAGTCGAAATAAAAAGCAATAAATAATTTAATTCTGTACGTTTCGACACCGTATGTGTGTCATCATTCAGAAGTTAACAAATTTAAAAACATAAAAAACACATAAATTTAAACTAAATGTTTAATGAAAATAGCCAAAACATTGAATAAAATAAAATAATAAACTAGTGGTGTATGGCTTCGTGCCTTGAGGCAATTTGCTGTAAATTTTACGTACCGAATTAAAATTTTGAAAATCTGAGTTATTATAAAATGTTGGAAATTTAAAAAAAATTGAAATAAAAATTAATTTTACTTTTCTAAAAACATACGTTTCATCTACATAAGCAGAAAGTTTTTGATTTATTCACATCGGATGCCTAGTTCTCTCAAAAATTGCCATTTTTTGCACATTTAGCTCTGTTTCTTCGAAATGGCTGGACCTGCCTTTGCTAAAAACTAATCAGCACATATCCCAATAATTACAAATTGTTTGTTTTTCGAATCATTTAAATCGGATGCTCCGTTTCCTCAAAAACTCTATTCCATTTTTTGCGTTCTTTGCTCCGTATCTCCGAAACGGCTGGACCTGCCTTTACCAAAAAATAATCACCACTTCTCCCTATCATTACGAATTGAATGTTTTTTGAACCATTCAAATCGGATACTTCATTCTCTCAAAAACTCGATTTCTATTTTCTGCACTCTTTGCTCCGTATCTCCGAAACGGCTGGACCTACCTTTGCCAAAAACTAATCAGCACATCTCCCTATCAATAGAAATCGATTGTTTTCTTGAACCATTCAAATCGGTTAAACCGTGCGCCCAAAAACGTGGACGAAAAATTGTATCCATACACACACATATATTATTTCTGAGGTATGCCGAAATGTTCAGAAACCTCTGAAACGTAAAGATATGCAAACATTTTCATTTCAATTTTTGGACCATTACAATAACTTACCCTACGGGAAGTTAAAAATAGCTTATTCAATTTTCTTAACCAAAATTAGTGATAAAACAAACATTGTTTAATTAGTATAAAATAGTAGATGTATTTTTATAATTTATTTTTTATAACATTGGAAGAACCAGTCCATATTTAAAATACAATTAAATACATATAAAATAATATTATAAATATAGAAATTCGTTATATAAAATAAATATCAGTTTTAACAAATAATAATGTGTTAGGTACCAGCCCTATATACAATACAAATATTCGTTTTTCAATACTTTAACAATATTCGTGAATATTTTAACTACTATTTAAATACTTTTTCTCTTTAATTTCTGACATTGTCGTGTTAATCCAATCCAAAATGATGTTATTCTTGTGTAGACATCAGGGTAATAACCACTTCCACAAGGTTGCATACCCAGGATACTAAACCGACTAGGGTATTGTTTCCTTGGACTAAAGGACCACCAGAATCACCCTGAAAAAAATCGAAAATGAAAATTTTATATATCTTTACGTTTCAAAGGTTTCTGAACATTTTGGAATAATTTAGAAAAAAAATGTGTGTGTGTATGCGCGTGTGTGTATGTATGTGCGAATACATTTTTAACTTCCGTAGGGTAAGTTATAGTAATCGCAAAAAAATCGAAAATGAAAATTTTTATATATCTTTACGTTTCAAAGGTTTCTGAACATTTTGGCATACCTTAGAAAAAAATGGATGTATGTGTGTGTGTGTGTGTGTGTGTGTGTGTGTATGTGTGTGTGTATGTGTGTGTATGTATGTATGTGTGTGTATGTATGTGCGGATACAAATTTTCGTCGACGATTTCGGGAACACGGATCAACCGATTTGAACAATTCAAAAACATTCGATTCGTATTGATAAGGAGACGTGCTGATTAGTTTTTGGCGAAGGCAGGTCTAGCCGTTCCGAAGATACGGGGCAAAAAGTGCCGAAAACGGTAAACTCAGTTTTTAAGAGAACGGAGCGTCCGATTTGAATAATTCAAAAAAACGTTCACTTGTATTGACAAGATGAAGAATCTATAAAATTTTCATGAAGGTAGGTCTAGCGGTTTCGGAGATATGGAGGAAAAAGTAAAAAAATGAGCCATTTGGGGTCAAAAATGATCATTAGACATATGCACATCAAATATCAGATACTTTATAGAGATTTTAACAATAAGTATACATTTTGTTAACATTCCTATGGGTTCCGTACCAATGCTTATGCGTTAGACAGCGACGCGGCCACTTACGCG